CTTTATTTCCTTCTAATTCAGCCTTTTGTCTTTCGTTCATAAATTTGTTCGCAAATTCATTAAAACAAGTGTTTTTCGTAAATGTTAAAATTGATTGAATGTCATCAATGATAAAATGAAATCTGTCGATTAGATACCAAAGATAATAAGAAGAAAATGGTTGATATTGGTTGTGTGTTGATGCTAACTGAGTTAATTTTCTCTGTTTCTGGTCAACTGGTAGATTGTTTGATTTCATGTAATTATACATAAAACCGCCAATTGTTTTTTCATCTGTGATAATATCTAAGTTTCTTATTATCGGTAAAAAGTTTATGTAATCATTAATGTATTTTTCATCAATGTGACCCTTTACTTCAGCCACGAATAAAGTATTTTTCTTTCTAATAATTCCTAAAGCTTTTGCTTTCTTTGTTGCTGTATCACAAATGATAACACCATTCAATCTTCCCGGCATATACATTTTATGATCGGTGTATTGAATGAAATCATGAGGATTTGATGAAAATGATGAAGGATATAATGAATTGAAATCAACACCAACGAAATGAGTCATGATGTTGGAAGTGTCCTCATTTGATACTGTTTTAGTTTCTGGACTATATGAAAGTTTATTAATGTGCGTGATTCCTTTAAGATTAACACGATGTTGAACATTTGATAGACCACCAGTAATTCCATTACGGAGGATGTGATACGCTTCCACTGAATCTAAAGTCATTGGTAAATTATTTTTTAATGCATAATTTCTTAAATTAATTCTTAAACGTTGAACTTCTTCATCTTTATTTGATTTTACGACATTGCAATAACAACACATTAACTGACAATTTTCTTCAGTATGTGGTTTTTCATTATCAATTCTATCCAATGTTGGTTTATTTGCATATGTAAACGCTTTACCACACATTTTACATTTAGATGAAAGGATTAAATCGTGAAAATATTGATAGTCATCCATTGAAACATTATTTTTGGTATCTCTTTTCACCTTTTCATCTTGTTTCTTATATGATTCAATTTTATATTTCCAATACTTTTTCGTTAATTCAAAACTTGATTCCACATTTTCTTCTTCTGGATATGTTTCGTTAGGATTAAAGTCTTTATATGCTAAAGCGTAACGAATCATTGATGCATTAGATGATAATGAAAGATTATGGAGCATGTCAATTTTATAAACAAATGTTTCTTCAATAATTTTATCGATTGGGTCAATCATAATTTCAACGTCTTTATTGCAATAATGAATAAAATATTCTAATCTATTCTCAAAATTTTTAGCATCATTGAGATATATTTGATAATCACTATCTGATATAGTTTCTTGGTTAATGCTGAATAAAATGAATCTTGAGTGAATGGTTCCTTTTATATAATTCTTCTTCGTAATTTCCCATGTGATGAATTGATATGGGAAAAAGGATTTAACACGTGTTTTATTGTTTCCGAAATCTTGAGTGAATTGGTCTAATGTCCCACCCGCTATATAATTTCTGATGTCAATAAATCTCAATTCATATGGAACGTTTGTTTTCTTTACAATGATTTGCTTAAATTGTGAAGAAGAACCCAGCATTGATTTTATCTTCCATTTTGCAGTATTTAAATCACGAAGAATTAAATTTAAATCAAACTTTCCCGAATTAAAACCTATGATATTCACTTTATTGAATTCCTCATCTAGAAGTTCTTTAAATGCTTCCTTCTGTTTCTCATTTAATGTATTCATTAATTCTTCATATTGTTCAATATTTGATTTAGCAACTAATGAACAGGTTGAAAATAAAAATTCAATCCAATCAGAGATGAACGAATCACTTGATGTTAAGCAAAAATTCCTTGTATATGTTTTATCGTTTAATTTAACCGTTGATGATACCATAAATGGTTTTAAGTAAGCGTTCAAAGTTGCACATTCAGAAAGTAGAAGTTCTTCTTTAGTCTCTAATGTTTCGAAGTCAAAAGTAATATAATATCTTGTTGGTTTATAATATTCCTGCAAATTATGTGCTAATAGCCACTGATATATCTTCTGTTTCGTGATATGTGGTGCATATGGTTGTTGTGTGTTTTGCAATTGAACGTCTTGAATTAATCTTCCATTATTTTCTTTACATTTCTCACAATGTTTTAAAAATCTTCTTTGGTTTTTCCTTTCTGGATCATCACGGATAGAATATACTTCTTCTTTGCAAAAGGAGCAAACTTTATATCCTGTGAGTGCTTCAACGTCTGTTATTCTGTCAGCGTGAAGTTTTCCACATGGACTCTGTGTTAATAAAATATTTACTGTTTCAAATTCTGGATCTATCATTATTGATTCCACTAATGGAAAGTCTACCTTATTTATGTCCACGTCTTCTGGTTGAGGATCACAATAATAAAAATCAATATTAACGTTTAACATTCTTGCTAACCTCTCACTTTCTGATGAAATGTCAAACCCTTCATATGCATCTATGGCTTCATTTAAATAACTTCTACGAGTTTTAGGATTAACACCATCAGGAATGTTATAGAAGCGTTTAAATAACCTTCTACCTTCTGCTCTAATTTGATTATCATTCATTTTAGCCGTTCCGTTTTTGTTCATTTATGTAAGAATAAAAATTAAAAAATAAAAATAAAGTTTATTTTTTTAAAGTCTGAGACTCAGAGAGTCCAGGGCTAAAGTCCATAAAATGAATTAAGAACACATAAATTTTTATCATCTGCGACATGACGAATACATTTTAATTTACTCAAGAATGTACCCTGATACATTAAATCTAATTCCTGTCTTATTTAATTTCACAACTTTGAAAAGGAATGTATGAATAGCTATGAAATGATGACGAGATGATTTATGTGTTGCTTCCATTTTTTCTGAAATAAATGAATAAATATAATGTTTATAAGTTTTCATATCTTTTATGTTCTTAATAACGAATGGAATAGATCTTTCCACTTCGTCCTCCTTCGGAGCTGTTCTTTCATATGAAACATCAACGGTATCTTCAACAATGAAACCACAATCACATAAAATTTTATATGTACCAATTGTTTCTTTTGATATTTTATCTAACAAATCAAAAACTTTATCAACACCTGTACATTTATTTAAATAATAATTTGTGTAAATATCATGGTCTTCTTTCTTAATCGTATTTGTTGCATATGTCACGTTTTTCAGTGCTTTTTTGAATTTTTCAGAATCAAGAGGAGGTGAAAGTAATATACATGGATAATCTCCATCGTCAATAAATTGTAACTTATGTTTATGAATAAATTTTGTGCCTTCTTCTGAAAGTGTTTCGTCAATATCACCATCTAATAAATTTTTAGTAGATTCCAAAAAGTAATTTTTATATCTTTCCTCATGTGATTTTTGAACTTCTGATTCTGAAGCTGGGATATTCATTAAATCCTCTACTTCATTTTCAGCATTTCTTAATTCTTTAATTTTTTCATCTATTTCATCTTAATTGTTCCAATTTCTCAATCTCATCGTTATAATATTCATCTTGTTTAATTTTTTCTTCAAAATATTCAGGAGGTGTTTCAAGGCTCTCTGAGCCCAGGTCCTCTGGACCATAAAGAGGAATATTCTCCTGTTTTTCAACTTTTTTGGGATATAAATATCTCATTATAGCCTTTTTAGTAATTGGTCCGTTATATTTAAATTCATTCAACAATCTGGAAAACTCTTTCACATTCTGCATATATGTTGGATAAGAACCGTCTCCAAAATTTTCTAAAATATTTTCTAATTCTGAATTAGTGAACTTTAAAGATTTCAATGAATTAGTTGTTATACTCATTTATTATAAAATAAAAGATAAAAAATATTTTTGATTAATAAGGAATTAATTTCATTTTATGTCTTATAATGTGCGCATATGTATTTAAAAGGCATTCATTGAATTGCTTTTCAATCTCTTTCTTTTTTTCATCTTCGAATATTATATCATTTTCATGTTCGAAGCTTGTAAGTTTGTTATCTTCAAATATTATATTAGTTTCATATATCAAATTATGATATCGGTCATATTCTTTTAAGTGATAAATAAATACAAAATTTACGGTTCCTTTAATTTTAAATTCAAAATTAATTTTACAACAGCTTTGTGGATCAATTAGTAAATCAATCAAATAATGTTCAAAATCAGATATTATTCTTTTTCCATACATTTTATATTAAATAAAAAATTGACACCATATTTGGAATCTATGCAAAAATATATTCTTTTTATTAATGGTAATATAGGAATTGTAGGAATAAAAACTTTTTATAAATTATTCATAAATTTTTAAAATCTGCTATTCGGAAGTATGTTCAAAAATCATTCAATTATGTGAGAATTCTTACGATTACAAAAAAGGTCACACAACCCGCACTCATATACTACTAATTAGATGAACCTTGGCAATTAAACTTTATTAAATAATAGTTGTTTATAAATTATATTATATTATTATTTAATATTATTTTGATAATGAAGATTTTATTTTGCAATAATATAAACGAAATTTTTTTACCTTATGAACTTTTGATGGAAATATGCAAATTTAAAATAATAAAGAAAGCCGCGAGCGAAGCGATCGGCTTAGTTCGAAGATTTTGATTCAAATCTTTGCTGATCTGTAATTCGCGGAAGCCGCGAGCGAATCGAGCGGCTTAGGTCTAAGATTTTGATTCAAATCTTTGCTTATATTCCTTAAATTCTTTATGAAACTCGCAACAGTTCCATAAAAAATTTTAAATTCTAAACTGTCGAAATTACCGATCGGTAATCACACCCTTCATGAGTGTGTCACTTTTTACAGGTGTGTCACTTTTAGCTAAAATTACCCCTACTCATTTCGACTAAGCTATTGTTTATAAAAATCGGAAAGGAAATATATATCTTTTGAATAGTGGTGATTAAAATATATATGAAAAGACATCATTTAAATGAGATAATTTTATATCAATAATAAAGAGCTCTAAAAATATAAAACAGTTAACAAAGATATCATTACAATCCAATAGCAGATGTTATCATATATCCAATCGTTGAAATAACCAAGATTGACATTAATATTGTTGGCAAGCCATAAATTATATAGTCTACGCCAGTCAAATATGTCGGCTTTGGTCCGTCATCATCAGGAGATTGCTCTGTAACACCAGAAACTAACGCATTAGGGAAACTAGAAATATGGAACAATTGTGCACCGGAAATCATCAAAGCTGAGAGGCAAACAAGTAGAGGTGCATGTCCAGTTGCATTTGCAATCGTAAGAATCAATGGGAAAAGAATTGAGGCGGCAGTGGTCGACGATAAAAGTGACGCGATGAATCCTTCTATCGCCAAAAGTGCCAAGAGTAGCATTGGAACTGAAACTCCACTTAAATAAGGTCTAACGATCGAACCGATCAAGTCAAGGAGTCCGGAGATTTCCATGGTCTGTCCTAAGGCCAAGCCACCACCGAGAAGTATCAATGTACTCCATTTCATTGTATTAAAATCATCTGTTGTAAGAACACCGGATCCGTAGAACCAAACAACTGGAATAAGTGCTGCAATGCCTGTGTGACCCATGAACCAGCTGATTTGGCCTCCTAATGACCACATTAAGATTGTAATTATTGTAACTATTGAAGCAAGAGTATGGCGAGTTGTCCATGGCTCATTTGAGGAATTTGTAGATAGTCTGAGTATTGTTGTATCGTTTCTGACAAATCTAGCGAGTAAATAACCCCATTGTGCGATAATTAATGTAATTGAAACAGGAGCGCCGAATGAGAGCCATTCAATGAATGATATTGGATGTTTGGCACCTGCAACAACGCTTGAAGCAATGACATTCTGTGGCGAAGAAATTAATGTTATCATTCCTCCGCAATTTCCACTCCAAGCAATTCCAAATAAGAGAGCTTTGTTGTATGGATCCTTTGGATCTAAATTCTTCATAATTGGAAGCGCTAATGAGAGAGTTAGTGTAGTTGAAGCAACATTTGAGAGTAAAGATGCAGAGAATAAGTTAATAAACATTAATACAAGTAATATCGTTGGCCTTGATGGTGGAAAATAGCCTAAAACTAGCTTAGAAACGCGAGTTGTAATTTGTAATTTTGAAAGCGCTGTACTCATTGTGAGTGAACCTAAGAAAACGAGTATAACAGGATCCATAAAGTTCGCTGAAAACATTGATGCAAGTTCTTTTGCTGTATATCTTAATCCTGTCTTTGGATCTACGCCAATTCTTAAAAATACTGCAAATATTGGTATTAAAAATGATGCTACAAATGGAGGAATGCATTCTGAAATCCAGTAATAACAGACCATTACAACAATGGCTAAACTCGTATGAGCGCATGGATTTAATGGGAAAATTGGTAACATATATACTATAAAGAATAATCCAACACCTAAAAGAGTTGCAAAACTCCGACGAACGTAAATTGATTTATCAAGATTTAACTGAGAAACTCCAAATTTTTCATTTTCCTTATCAACAACCTTGATTTCTTCATTATTCTCTTCTAAAGGTGAGTTGATACCTTCAATATCACTGTCTTCTAAATCCAAAATCAAAAGGAGATGTTGTTTGTCACTTTTTCCACTTGAAAAATGCCGAGTTAACAACATATATAGAAACCAGTGATTGATTTGAACTCCTTAACAACTGTCTTAATTATGATATATTTCTTGCAAGATACCTTGATTTTCGCATGGTAATTCTTCAGAGAATATTCAGTGAAAATGGTATTTACTATTTTTCTGACTTTTTTTTGATAGTAAATACCATTTTTAGTTGTTATCCAAATAGTTTCTAATGATTATTAAGAAAAATACAAAACAATATTTTAAAAATTGAAAATAATATAGAAAAACTTTATAAAACATCTATTGTGTGACGTTACTTTCGTCAACTTTTTCTATTGCACTGAGGATTTCATCGGCCAAATTCGAATACAATTCATTTTGGTTATCAATTAATTGATTTAACGATTCTATGATAGTAGAATCATCAACAATTTGTGCTGATATCGGAACATTTGCTGATAGTAAGAAGTAAATGCATTTCAAGGATGAAAAAATTAATTGTTCGTCTGAGCACTCAATGAACTCTTTAATTTGTTGGAATAAGTCAACCTTTCCTATAACATATTCATATGCACCAGAATGGCCGCTTAAAAGCAAACTTACGGTAAAAATGAACAATTGTTTTTTAACTCCGAAATTATCAGTGTCTGCACCATTAAATTGGAAATTATTGACAAATATTTCTTCATCTAAAAACTGAATTCCATGTAATTGCAAAATTGTTGCTAACAATAAAATATCTTCTTGATTTCCACTATAGCATGAGAATCCAGATATTATAAACGGTATTGCTCCGCTTTCATATAGTATTGTTGCACCAACATTTCCAGATTCGCCAGGAATTGTTGCAATTGAGTGCATTAAGTCAAGTATTTCACTTAGATGGAACGTGTATCCAGGAGTTGTATAAACTTCGAAGAAATTCGATATGAAATTTGTTTGGATTAATAATTCAAGCAAAGTTGAAGAATCATTGATATACGCATTGATAGTATTTATCACTTCTATTTCTGCTAATGTAATATTTGATCTTTCAACAATAGGATTTAATAGATTTATTAAAAATTCATAAATTTCGACATTATCTTGAATAATTTCCCAATGTCTTTTAATATATTGTATTGTTGCAATCTTTTGATTATCACCTACATATTTTTGCGATAATATTCTAAGGAGATTTTTGATAAAATCTAAATTAACAAAGGCTTCCTTAATTGCCGGATTACAATATTCAAGACATGTAAACACATCATAGGCAAGTGGTAGAGGGAATTTATTAATGACATATTGAACAAAATATTCTTGTTGAGAAATATATTCGCCAGCTTCTCTGGATTTTTGCAAAAACAGTAATATACATTGTAATGAATAATATTCTAATTCAATATTGTTGGTATTAACAAAATTTAGGAGTCGGTCAATTAACATTGGATCAATATTTGAAATTTCTTTAGTATAGAATTGGAAAAACGAATGACAATATGCAGCACCTACTGCGTTCATTGAAATATCGTCAGATAGTAATTGTTGTTGAATCTGCATTAAAAATTCTTCGATTCCTGGGAAATGGAGTTTTGAAATATAAAACCCATGAACAAAATCATCTTCTTTTGGCTTTGGCCTAAGATCTTGTTCGTCATCCTTCGTTGATTTTTCAGGAATCATTTGAAATGGAAATTTGAAGTTTTCAATACGGAATTAATTAATAATTCATATGGCGGTATCCTACGCACTTATTATTCGATAATAAAAATCAGCTTTTTTTTTGTTCTAAGTTTAAAATTTGTCACTTTTTGGAGAAAATACGTTTTAAAAGGAAAATGAGTATTGAAGGAACTCTGCGTGTAGGGCAGATAACTGATTATCCATCAGCTGCTGCCTCTCGTACTCATTGCCGGGTAACAGTATTTTTCCCTGATGGAACTCAAAAGCAGTCAAATACGATTCCAGCATCAGAATCTTTCGATTTTGCATTTGAATCAACATTTAACATAGATACATCATCTCCAAATTCATTCGATATGCTTGTTTCAGAGCCATTAAAGGTAATTCTCGCTTCAGTTTCAGCAGATGCAAGACATCAAACTAACGCGTTCGAATTTCAACTATATCTTGATCAATTACTTACACAACGCAAAACATCAATCGCTGCTGATGTTATTGGTAAACATTGCGAAGAAAGCGAATTTGATGCATCAATTGCAGCACCTTCTCTTAAATTATCTTTCGAAATTCCAGAACCATTACTACCTCAGGAAGATTCTGAGGGCTCAACAATTATGCGTCTTAAAGCAGAAGAGCTTAAAACACTGCCAACAGCAGTTTTGATGTCCACACTTCATCAAGATGACCAAGTTCATCCATTTGATTACAATGTTGCATTTAGATTCCCTTGCGGAAGAATAATTCAGCTTCCAGCCGGACATTTTCAATTTTCAGATCCTCCTCTTATTAAATGGGATGGAGTTTCTAGAGTTTTCCTTCCAGCATCATCAGTTAAAGCTATGCTTGAAGAAAACGCGGTTGTCAATTTTGAAATTTGGAGAGAAATAAACGAAGATTACTCAAACTTCCAAATTCCAGATAACATTACAAATGCTGTTGCTGGAAGAGGTAGTTTTCCAGCTGCAGACTTTACAAAACCAGGTCAATCTCACTATTATTCAGATATTCCTATTACAAACACAGATAACTCAGATCCAATACGTGGACCAGATAATTCCGCAGCTTCCGAAGACAATGATCCAAAGAATAAAGGAAAAGGCCGTAAAGTTTCTTCAAGATCTTCAAAACGAAAACCAAAACACCCGATTACAGCCAAAGATAAGAAGCAGCTCAAAGTCATGACAACAGCATTCCAAGATACTCCACCTACTGGCTTCGACGGAACTACAACTTTATCTGTAGATATCCAATTTTCACACGCCCTTATTCTGAAGCCACTTGTACCACATCCAACGATCAAACCATCAGATCTAGTTCACAGACCAGCTGAAACTCGCATGCATCACCTTGAAGAAGCAACAATTGAATATCGCCAAGCAGTTCAACGCCTTGCCAACGAAATTATTGCTGCTCAAGCTGAGCGTCGCGAGTGCCAGCTCGCAGTTCCTGATTTTCCAGACGATTTGATGCCACTTTTGGTCAAATTACCAAGTTATCACGTTGCTCTTGAAAAACTTCGGATTGCCATTTCCATGACATTTGCCGAATTTTCTTTAGCACATGATGCCCAAAGCGAGTCCCAAATGCAGTCATTACAAAACGAATTACCTTTTTATTTGCGAGACGAGCTCGTTAAGCAACTCCCAGACTTCTTCATTAAATCCAAGCAGCCACCGGACCTCGGCGACTTCCTCCGTCGCGAGGCCGAAGAAGCGGAACTCATGGACAGACCAGAAGCAGCATCCGAAATGCTTGAAGAGTTAATTGCCTTGGATTTAACGAATGCGGATTCATGGTGGTTATACGGCCGCCTGATGCTGAAACATGGTGATCTAACACGCGCGGAAGAGTGTGTTAGAAGAGGTTTAACATGTGACCCGAACCACATCAAGCTCAGCATTTTGTTCGCATCGTTATTGACAAGACAAGAAAAGTATTTCGATGCAATCGACTTTTTGAAAGCCGCACATTTCAAAGACAGAAAAGTCGAAGTTGTCTTATCGATATTGAACGGTCTTGCCAATATTCCTAATCCCAAACCAACACTTGAAGAAGGCGAAACACCATTACAGTTCGCTCACGAGTTCATGGACATGATGGATGTTGTTTTCGCGGAACAATTAATTGCTCAAGAACAGATGAAAAGTGGAGAAACTCTTGAAGTTCTTCTCGCTTTCGGAAGACTTCATTACCTTCTCCATGATTTCTCCAAATCTGTTTCCTTCTTAACAAGAGCTGTAGGTGTCGAGAAGACTGCTGATGGATTACTTTTGCTTGGTCATGTCGAATTCGAAAGAAAGAGATACCAAGAATCAGCAGAATGGTTTGAAGAAGGCTTGGAATTACAATTCGAACAAAAAGCAGCATTAAGACTGGGATTCATTTATCTCAAACTCGGTGATTATCTTAAGGCTGAATCATTCTTATTCCAATGCTCTCCACAGTCAGCAAGTTTGTTGCTCGGTTTGGGCATCGCTGCCTTTAAACTCGAGAAATACAAACAAGCTGATGAATTCTTGAACAGAGCAAGTGCTATCAATTTCAGACATCCAGATATTTGGGCGAACTTGGCTCTGTTTTCTCTCAAAATGGAGAGACAAGAAGAAGCAGAACACGCGGCAATGATGGCTATCAAATGGAACTTGAGAGATGAGGGATTGGTGAAGGAATTAATCGATGCAGGATTAGTAAAACCAAAGGATGATGATAAAGATAACGAGGAAGAAGAAGAAAAACAAAAAGAAGAGGAAATTGAAAAAGAAAATAGTGTTGATAATGTAGATAATGATGATAGTGTTAAGCATGCTGATGATGAAGTGAATGATATAGATAATGTTGAACAGGATGATCAAACGGAAAAAGAATCAGCAGCTGATATATAAATAAAATTAATTTTATGATTTATTTTTATTAAATACCTCCAACATGTTTATGTTAATTCAAATGATGCATATCTAAAAAAAAAAAAAAAAAAAAAAAAAAAAAAAAAAGGGAGTGGGGCTTCCAGGCACTTCGTGCCTTCTAGCCCTGAGGATGAATGAGTATAATGAAGTTTTTTTTTTTTCTTGGGGGATGGCTTCCAGGCACTTCGTGCCTTCTAGCCCCCGAAGATGTTTAGTATAAATGAAGTTTTTATTCGGAGGGCTTCCAGGCGCGTTACGCCCTGAAGATGTTTAGTATAAATGAAGTTTTTATTCGGAAAATTGTTAGTCTTCTTGGTCGAAAACATTATATAATGTTTCACTTTTCACAAATTATATATGTTTTCATGTTTTGTCAAGACTTCTTCGTAAATGTTTTGTCAAGACTTCTTCGTAAATGTTTTGTCAAGACTTCTTCGTAAATGTTTTGTCAAGACTTCTTCGTAAATGTTTTGTCAAGACTTCTTCGTAAATGTTTTGTCAAGACTTCTTCGTAAAATCAGACAAAAATAATGTTTAGGGTAGAAGGTTAGATATAACCTCTTTTCTAACCTCTTTTCTACCCTCTTGAATTTTCAAGACTTCTTCGTAAAATGTTTTGTCACTTTTCTGTCACTTTTCAGGTAAAAACATTTTTATATATATATAAATGAATTTTACAAAACCACCGTTACCGTTCTTTGGAAATAAGAGTAGATGTAAAGATATTATATTGAGAGAACTTAAGAAACTACCGAATGGTCTAACATTTGTAGACTTGTTCGGTGGAAGTTTCTATATATCTCATTTGTGCCATACAATATTTCCTGACTCAAAGATTATATGCAATGACTTCGACAACTATATGAACCGTCTCAAACATATACCAGACACAAACAAAATATTGAAAGAGTTAAAAGAAAAGATACCTATAGGTAAGATGGAACGTATACCATTAGATAACAAAAATATTGTGAGAGATGTTTTGAAAAAAGCAGAATATATAGACTGGAATAGTATATCTGCTAGACTATTATATAGTGGTGCTATAAGAGTTCATGACATTGAAACACTTATGTCAAACGTTTTATATCTTAACTATACAAATGTTTTCAAAGAGGACATAGAAAAATATATTGAGGGTATAGAGTTTGTGAGATGTTATTGGACAGAGTTGTATGAAAAATATAAAGACAAGGAAAATGTTTTCTTTATAGTGGACCCGCCGTTCTATAACACATGGGATTTTCAATACCAAGTAGACTGGACTTTGAGAGACTCTTTAGAAACTTTAGACGTTTTACATAACCATCCATGCTTTTACTTTACATCCGATAAAAGTGGTTTGGAAACCGTTATGAGATGGTTAGAGGACATACATGACTATGAGTTTATATATGACAAGATAGAATATGAGAGAGGTCCTATAAACTGGAAAAAGTGTCATAACAAAGAAATTTTATTAGTAAGTAAATGTGGTTTGAAATAGGACTACTTGTTTTAGGTTTTTTCCATTGTGTCATTTACTTATTTGACGTGGCAGAAAGATATAGAGAATATGAAGATGAACCAATGCCTGCAAATGTCCAGTATATGTACTCGTAAGAGATATTTTTATCTAATATTAAATGGACGCACAGAACTTAGCGAATGCACAGCAACCTGGACAACCAAACCCAGAGAATATTCCAAATGAAGTTAGAATACAAACTGCAATGGCAAACTATGGTCAAGTGCCAACAGATGTACAAATGCAAACTGCCATGTCAAATGACGCTGCGTTAGGTTTGCCACCATGGTATGCAAATATGAGATGGAAAGAGTTTTATACAAACCCTGAAGTGGGATATAAACAACTCTATGCAGATGACGCAAATACAGGAGTTGACCCAGAATATGTTTTCTACCAGAGGAGAAACAGAATGTATGAGCTCCAGTTAAAGAATGCTATGGAACTCAACAGGAAACGTAAGAGACTAGGCGGACATTAGATTTTTACATATAGTAAAATGGGTTTCTTCAGTAGTATTGGAAACTTCTTCAGAAGAGTTGGAAGAGGTATATGGAATGGAATAAAAACCGTAGGAAGAGGAATTTGGAACGGAGTCAAAAATATTGGTAAAAGAGTAGGTCAGTTTGTTGGTATTATACCTAAAGACCCTGAACCAGAAGAACAAGCTCCTGTTATACAACAGCCTGAACCTGCACCACAGTCTAGTTGGCAACCAAATCCAACACCTCAACCGTATTAAAAAATTATATTTTTACCGTTCGATAGTAGTTGTATATGAAACTAAGTTCTAAGTAAAACGCGTGGTATAATGGAACTATTCTCTTTCTTCCATCTGTTGTAAACCATACTTGAAAGTCTGAAATACTTCCACTCGGTGGTTCATATAGCTTTGTAGGTTTTTCGTAAAAGTCATTTGCCAAGCATAAAAAAGAGTTTTGGGCGCCAGAAAATGAAGCATGAACTATAATAGCATCTGAGTCGAAAACATTTTCATATGTTCCATTAGGGTTTTCGACTTCATAAAAGTCCGGGTGTACTGGATATTCTGCAGGCTGATTTAACATCCTCAGAAACCTATACCATGCCAAGTTGTTATATTTTGTAGAAATATAAACGTCTTCTCCAAGGTCTTCTATTCTATTGATTTTAACAGTTGCATTTTTCCTGTCATATATAATATCGAGATGGTACTCTCCTTCGTCAATGTTGTACTGTTTTGCATATTCGAGATAGATATCGTTTATTTTTTCTTGAAAAGCTTGAAGAGTTGTTTCTAAGTTTACAAGCAAATTCACTTGTAAAAGTTTTCCCTGTTCAAATTTCTCATACGTACGTTTCTCTTTGTTATAGTATCGAATTTCAAAAGCGACCGTAAATGGGAAACCATGTATGGCTTCTGAAATGAATTTCATTCTACGAAAGCCAATAGCTTTTGTGACGGATGGGTCTCTTAGCCATCTTAACGGGTAGTCAAAACGATAGCCTTCATGCTTTACGGTCTCTGTCTCAAACTTTTGACCGACATTCGTAAAAAGTTCATCTAATGGTTTAGTTGTAGCAACTCTAGAATTTTCTTTTTCTATTGAAAGCATATTTTATCTAGAATAAAAATGTCGAAAGAAACAGCGTCTATGAGAGAAATACAACACAACCGACAACTCATTTTGCAAGCTCTAAATAAGAACACAACAAACTTTTCAAACTATTCTAAGATATCTGAGTCATTGAAAGAAGGAAACTTAAAACTGACGATAAACCCATTGACAGACGAGTTTCTGTTTCAAGACAGTAAGAACCATACTGTTTGTGTAAATCCAACAAAAGGAACTTTAAACGAGAAGCCTATAAAAGAACTTCTTTTGAAAGCAGATGTTGACAACAAAGCTGACAAAGAGTATGTCATTGAAAAAGTTCAAGAAGAACATGACAGAGCAGATGCAACATATGCAACGAAAGAACATACTCATCCTGAACTAGCGGACAAAACATATGTTGACAATAAAATGTCAAGTGAAGTGACAAGAGCTGACAAAGAATATTCTAAAAAGACTCATACACATACCATTGCAAATATTACAAACTTACAAGAAACCTTAAACAGGAAAAGTGACGTTGGACATACACATACCATTGCAAATATTACAAACTTACAAGAAACCTTAAACAGGAAAGTGACGTTGGACATACACATACCATTGCAAATATTACAAACTTACAAGAAACCTTAAACAGGAAAAGTGACGTTGGACATACACATACATCTTCTGAAATAACAGACTTAAACGTTAGCCTTGAAAAGAAGGCAGATAAGAACCATACACACGATTTCTTCGCAACTGTTGGTATAGAAAATATTGAAGGAACGGTTGAAGAAACTGGTGGGGATGTATTAAATTGGAAACCTCCTAACTTTCCACAAGGTTTAACATCGGAGGATGACATAACAACGATGAAATACACTAGATGTAGAAATGTCTATGTCATGGAGGATGAAAACAATGTTAAATTCACTGCTCAAGATTTATATGATAAAAAAGCTGACAAAACAGAGCTTCAAACGTTAAAGACAGAAATACTTCAAACAGTATATCCTATAGGTTCTATTTACACGTCAATGAACTCTACCAAACCAGAAGTAGTACTTGGTTTTGGAACTTGGACTCAAATAGTCGACAGGTTTTTGTATTGTGCAAACTCTTCAAAGGAAACAGGTGGAAGTAAAACGATTTCAGGTGCAAATTTACCTGCGCACAGTCACTACATAGATTTAAGTACATCTGAAGCAGGTTGGCATAAGCATAGATTTTGGGATTGGTCAGCAATGAAAAAAGGTAAAGGATATGATGTTAAAGACGACGTTCAGTTTGCTATAAATTGTTTCTGGGGTAGCACACAGGGAGAAGGAAACCATACACATCGCGTTTCAGGGTATACACAAACAACGGGACAAAGTAAAGACTACATGCCACCTTACATGACAGTTTACGCATGGTATAGAAACGCTTAGTCGTCATTTTCAACTTCTTTAGCATATTCGTCAGGAGTTGTCTTATATTTGTTAGGAACTGTCTTTGAAAGTATACCACCTTGAACCTTAACAAGTTTGAAACGAGGTCTGACAATAGTAGTTTTATCTTCTGCTTGCAGTCTGTACATTTTGCCATGTTTGCCTAAAACTTCATAATATTCTCTTGTATACTTTCTTCTATTTTTACGAACACGAATGCGAGTACCTGTCGAGTTCCCATTGTTGTCATAGTCAATAGTATTTTCATATGGGTCGCGTTTAGGTATTTCTATTTTTACTTTGTCACCTTTCTGAAGTTTGAAGCCTGGCATTCTTTCTTGTTTGTCTCTTTTGACTAAACTATTAAATATATAGTCTTTCTCTAAGTCAGGGTTGTTTTTCATTTCTTCAGGGGAATGGTTTCCCAAACCTTTTTGTTTACGGCTATTGTAAATATTTAAAACTTGTCTCATCTTTGCCATGGAGAAGTGTCTGTACTTGTCGTCATATGACATTTCATCTACCTCACCACCTTGTGGTTGGTTTAAGTCTCTTAAGATTTTTATACAACTGTCAATGACACCAAGAGCAGAATGGTTTTGGTCGACAATGAAATATTGGTTTACATTTTTTTGAACGCAGATAGTTTTTAATATCGTCTGATTTGAAAGAACTTTCACAGTCAGATGTCAGTTTTGTTGGATGGTATTTGTCAACGAATATTGTCAAAGCAGTTTTCACATCTAAAATATTTTTGGACCATAATGGTATGGCTTCACAGTATCTTGTGTTTTGACCGACAAATATTAGCCAGTATGGTGGTCCATCTGTTCTAACTCTCGGAATGTTTTCCAAGATATCCATAAACCAAGCATTTGGTGTTGAACTAAAGATTTTTACCATGAGTGCTTTCTTTGTTGCTTTAGAAACATACGGGTCCTTGTTTGGATTCGTCATTTTTACCCTGTAAGAAATGGGTTTATTTGGCGCATTAGCAGGAGTTGCATCCAGATTTTTACCCGCAGTGGGAACAATAGCCAGAGGTGTATTTGGAGTTGGAAGGAAGATTTTGAGTACATTAGGTATACTGAAAGAGAAAGCACAACCTATTATACAAACTGTACAGAAAGGTTGGGATGTAGCACGAGATGCAACAAATCTTATTCCAAATCCTGAAACAAGAGGAAAAGTTCAAGGATGGATGGACAATGTTTCCAGACAAGCAGGAAACTACTATAACAAAGCAAATGACTACTATAACCAAGCAGGACACTATATGGACCAAGGTGAAAGATTCTTTAACAGAGGATATAACCATGCACAACAGTGGGTAAACAATAACCAACCTCAACCGCCTCAAACGTGGGGAATGTAAATTTTTTTACTGAGATGAAATGAACAATACAGCATTGAGACAAATGGGTTCAAGATGGATTTGTCGACTTCCAGCAGTTACACAACGTGTTTGTCAAGTTCTTCCTATACCTCAGGAAGTTTTAGACCGACTTAAAAAACAACAACAACCAGTTGAAAACAAACCAAACTAAAATTTTTTACTGAGATGAAATGACCGAAGAAGTTGAAACGGTAGATTTGACACCACAAACAAAAAGTTCAGAACCATTGTCAAAACCTGTCAAAGAACTTACAGATGAAGAGAAAAATTCAATAATAGAAAGTGCCAGGTCTGGAAATACAAACCCTAACTATAAAGTCACTTTTCATAGAAATGGAACGGCTAGTATCTCAAAAAAGAAACAGACTCTCACAAATAAAATATTGAAGTCTGAAGGAGCTTTCGAGACAACAGATGGAAAAGTTTACTTCACTGACAAACAGTTCATTATAGAACATCTCATTGACTTAGAGTCGAAATATTCTAAACTTTACAACAAACACAAAAAGTTGAAAGGAAAACAAAAACAAATGGCATATGATATTTATGAAGATGTTGACAACACAACTGTTCCTGCAGGTGAGGTAAAGTCAGGTGAACCGAAAAGTGACGAAAGACCGATAGAAGAAGGGGAGCCAAAAACTGAAGATAAACCAAAACCAAAGTTTAGTTTCCAAACTAAACCAAGTCAACCTTCATTAGCTGGTATGGGTTGGCGTCAAAGACTTCTGGTAGCAGGAGGTTATGTAAAGTAAAAGAAAAAAATATTTTTAAAACAGTATATTTTTTTATTTTTATTTGAACTGTACGCTGAGTTTGTTGGAAAAGACCGTTGGGAAACTTGTTTGTTAGACGATGAAATATGAAATGGCATACCATTTAAAACAACATATTTTAAAAAAAATATTTTTTTATTTTATTTGAAATGTACGCTGAGTTTGTTGGAACAGACCGTTGGGAAACTTGTTTGTTAGATGAGAAATATGAAATTCACTGTTGTGAGTCATTTGAAGTCAGAAACAAAAAGACAAAAAGAGTTTTAAGCGAATGGGAGCAAAATAACGGATATGCTAGGATGAGGGTTGGTGGGAAACACTATCTTAAACATGTTGTCATTGCAACTCATTTTATACCGAACCCTAACAATCTACCTTTTGTAGACCATATAAACCATATAAGAAATGACAATAGACTTGAAAACTTACGCTGGGTCACTTGTTCTGAAAACAATAAGAACAAAAGCAATTTTCGAGATATAGTATTCGAATTTGTCGACGAACTAGAAGATGAAGCAATTGAAATTACAGACTATGGTAAGCATACGTTGGAGTTTTACTACTATAGCGAAGAACAAGACTCTTTCTACTTTTATACCGGCGTAAACTATAGGAAATTACAAGTATATTTTACTAAGGCGGGCTATGCTTATGTAAACACTATAGATACAGATGGAAAATACGTTCGAATACTTCTTAACAAATTCAAGAAGCTATATGGCATACCATTTTAAAACAATATATTTTTACATATATTAAATGCTTCAGGTTGAAAGAATACGGTGGAGCCAAAAGTGGCTCGACCTCAAAACAAGCATTTTATGAGCTTACAAAGGGTGTTATGAATGAATTCAGCAACATACATCCTGACCTCGTTCATTTTGTTGCTAAATTCAGCAAAAATAATGTTTAGGGTAGAAGGTTAGATATAACCTCTTTTCTAACCTCTTTTCTACCCTCTTGAATTTTCATGAATTTTCATGATTTCATCGTAAATGTTTTGTCGAAACTTCTTCATCGTATATGCTTTGTCGAAACTTCTTCTTCGTAAATGTTTTGTCATGATTTCATCGTATATGTTTTGTCAAGACTTCTTCTTCGTAATGAGCGTAAATGACCCAAAAATATAATTTAGGGTAGAAGGTTAGATATAACCTCTTTTCTACCCTCTTTTCTACCCTCTTGAATTTTCATGAATTTTCATGATTTCATCGTAAATGTTTTGTCGAAACTTCTTCATCGTAAATGTTTTGTCATGATTTCATCGTATATGTTTTGTCAAGACTTCTTCTTCGTAATGAGCGTAAATGACCAAAAAATAATGTTTAGGGTAGAAGGTTAGATATAACCTCTTTTCTACCCTCTTTTCTACCCTCTTGAATTTTCATGAATTTTCATGAATTTCATCGTAAATGTTTTGTCATGATTTCATCGTAAATGTTTTGTCAAGACTTCTTCATCGTTGTGGTCCGACGGTTAAGCCACAAACGAATGTCCGACGTCCCACCAAAAAATATTTTTTATTTTTATTGTAAGAACAGAAATGTCAGTCGAAGCAAAAACGTTCACGAACAAATCTAATGGCGAAACATTCACAAAAGGCACTTACAACGGTATTGAAGTCTTACGTAGAGACAAGGATGGTTATATAAATGCAACAAATATGTGTCAGCAGTTTAGGAAGGACTTTAGAAGGTTGTTGGAAAATAAGTCCTGGGAAGAGTATTTTGAGGCATTTTGTGAAGAATATACCAACCCGCGGAAAACAGCGGGTTGCTTTTTATACAAAATTCATGCAGGAATTCCTGATGAAATCAAACAGGTTAGAGGAATGTATGTAGACCCAAGACTCGTAAACTATATAGCAATGTGGGCTTCTCCAAAATATTGTATAGCAGTTGGAAAAATTCTGGACTCCATAGACAAGAAAGTTCATGAGAAATTAGATGAAGAAGAACTTGAAGATACAGTAGAGAATGCAAAACCTTTGTTCGAACAAGAAGTTAGAAAAAATGTGCTTAAACAAATAGAACATGAACGTGAGATATGTTCTGGTTATAGAGATTCTCCATACGAACTAGACCAATGGGAACAAGAAGATTTAAAGAGAGAATTTAGAGAATATGAACTCGCTAAGATAGCATTAGAAGCTGCAGAAAAGAAGTTAAAAGTTTGGGGTCGTTTTGTACAAAAATATTGTGAGTAAATGAACCATTTTTTTCGACAAAAATAATGTTTAGGGTAGATGGGTAGATATAACCTGTTTTCTAACCTCTTTTCTACCCTCATGAATTTTCATGAATTTTCCCGAAATAAAAAATAAAGTTAGTTTTTTTAAAAAAATATTTTTTATTTTTATTGTAAGAACATGTTAGCAACAACAGCACCAAACTCGTTAGTCATGAACCCAACTTCAATGTTAGTAGAGATGAAAAGCTTCATTCCTTCTTCATATACTTTCGAAACAGAAATCCAGAAGATAAAGCAAGAACTTCTCCAAGGAGATTTAGATTGCACTGCAAAAGATGAAACAGATGAAGAATATCTTTATGAAATGCAGGATATTATTGACCATCTACCTAAACTTCCTGAAATCCAACAACAAAAGCTTACTATTCCAGAATTCGATGAAATAGAAGTCAAAGCAACTGACTCAGTAGAAATAAAGAAGTTCATACGAAAGGTTAACTATGAGTTTCTTGGATTTCATTGCAACCACAAAGTCATGGACAAAGATTGCGATATGGTATATAAGAACATCTCTGACATATACAAATCTGGGGAGTTTAAGACCTACGACAACTTTGTTTCGTTAGTTGCTGAATGTG